GCGAAGCGGTTCCGGGAATCGGCTCTTCGTCGTCGGAGTCCGGCAGCGGGGTCGGGCTGATGTCCTCCAAGCCGGTGCTGGACGGCCGAGAGTTCTGCTGGCCGCCCGCGAAGGGTGGGATCGGGGACAGCTGGGAGGATGAGGAGGAAATGGGGCTACCTTCCATTCGCACCTCGTTGTCCGAGTCCCGCTCCTCCAGAAACGGCAGCAGCTTTGTCCTTTTTTCCTTGAGGAGCATCTCAATACGCGAGTCCAGGCTGTTGCGTTCCGGATCCAGCGCCGGGGAGCCGGGCGACGGGCAGCGCTCTGGCGTTTGAGGGGGAGGAGTGGCGGGTTGGGGGACCGGTTCCGGCGGCGGCTCTGGGATCGGAGGCGTCTCCGGCCTTTCCTTAACGGGCAAGACGTCCGTCGGGGGCGTCGGAGGCGGCTGCGGCGGTCGGAGGTACTCGCCCTCCCTTTGAGCCGGGTGATGGTACGGCGACTCTGACGGGGGGAACGCAGGCGGCAAAGCGGCTTGGTAGGGCGAGAATGCGGACTTAAAGTTGGGCGTAGCGGGAGGAGGCGCTGTGTAGTTGAAGGAAGGGGTTGAAGGTGGAGGTTCAGGCGGCGTATTCCGATACATGTTGCTGCGGTACTGAGGCCTCTCCGGCCGGCGGTTGTACGCGTCCTGGAACTTGCTCTCGTGCCTGCGGGACTTGTACCCTCCAGAGCTCTCGGGACGGCTCGACTGATACGCAGGCGTGGACTGCCGGCTGGAGTAACTGGAGTCCTGAGAGAAGGGCGTACCCGGCTGGCGAGGGGTGTGAGGGGTTCCCTGGGACTGGGGGGTGTCCTGCCTTATGCTGGAGTAACCCGTCTCCAGGCTGAGGGGAGTGGTGGAGCTGCTGGGTGGCAGCACTCCTCCTATAGACATGCTGCTCTCTGACAACCTGCGGATGGGCTCACAGGCCTTAAAAAAAAAAAAAAAGACATTAAAATAAGTTATATTGGGAAAAACTTATAGCAATTTGAAAAAAAAAGTGATTATATGAACATAGCAACATTTCAGTAAAGAGAATATCTAAAACTCTGTAGGTCTCTAGGTTCAGGAGCTCAGGAAATATCTTACTACAAGGTCAAAGTTCTTTTTTTTTTTTACAGCTTTGAGAGTTCAAACCAGAGTCAAAGGTCAAGATAACATCTCTCTTCAGGCTTGGATTTTTACAAAATAACAATACTGGTAAAATGAGCATCAAACAACACCAAATTGACTATATAGAAACAATCATCAGGACAACGTTGTATAAAAACACTCCTTATATTTTGCTAAAAGTTTCTCTTTTTTTACCAGTAAGGCCTCTGCAAGACTCCGAGGGGAAACTTCCCTGTTTTCCTCTCCGCCAACAGGCAGCGTCCGCGGTGTGTAGCTGCCATTCATCAGGAGCTGAAAGTACCTGAGGCGATTCTCACCTGCAGGACAGTTAAAATGAGCCGGTCTGATGCAAGACTTAGAAAGCAGCAGGGCGACTAATAAAAAGTGATCAGAAATTATAACTGGTAATACTTATCTCTGTAATAGTTGATCAATAAAACAGAACAGTAGCAAAATCAAAGAACACATTATCAAAGTATTAAATGCTTTCAAATAAATTAATATTGATTGTTATGGCAATCTAAAGATATAAATAGTGCACATATGAATCAATGCATACAACAATTGCATCTTAGCTTTTAAAAAGTGCATGCTTAGTTTTTTTAAATTAATGAAAACAGTTCAAAGTGCACTTAAAAAATTGCTGAATTAAGTCCATATAAATACAAATAGTAAGAAAAAATATGTTAACATGCACTATAGCAAAATGCATTTCAGATACTGATTTTGAAAGACATTTGAAACTTTGAATAGATTTATTAAGTGTAAAAAAATATACATATTTCTCATTTTTTAAAAGACACATCAATTGAAATCAACAGAGGTGCATGAGACTCTGACAGATTGGTATTGTTTGTTTTCAGGTCTAAAATTATGCTCAGTGGGAGTACGCAGCACCCCCAGCTCTGGGCTTATGGGACCGAGCTCATTTTCAATGAAATTCAATTACGCCCGTGTAACCAGGCAACGCACGTAAATGTAAACACGTGACTACTGTCATTGTGAACATTCAAAACAAACATGTAAAACTAATCTTTTCAAATCCACATTCATGCATCTTATAACCGATCTGGCTCTGCATAAACGCAACCCTGCAGAGGCTTTTGAATGAATCACTGTTTACCTTTCGGGTCCAACTCCACGTGGATAATGTTTCCCATCACGGACGTGTTGTGCAGCGACTGAACAGCAACCTTGGCGGATTTCACGCTCTCAAAAACAACTTTAGCTATTCCCAGGTGCTTCTTATTCTTCGGGTTGTACAGGATCTCGACCTCCTCAATATCTCCAAACTTTTTGCACATGTCCGTGAGAAATCCCTCCCTGATGTTGTCGTTCAGCCTGGCGAACGTCACCTCCTTTGGAGGCACGGGGCCGACATAAAATTCATCGATCTGGGAGAGGAATGAAAGGAGTTGAGGTGAGAAGGGCCGTCAAAGTTTAATGTTGCGTTATGTGGGGTCATTTCTATCAGGCTAGATAAGGATTAAAAGAAAGCTGCAATAAATTTCCTACAGCACTTAAAGCCATATATGAAACAGTGTATCCACACATTGATATACAATAATCAGGCATAACATTATGACCCCAGACAGGTGACATGAAAGACTATTTCTTCATTGTGACACCTGTTAAGCATGTGGGCTATATTAGGCAGCAAGATAACATTTTATCTTTGGGGCTGATGTGTTAGATCCAAGAAAAATGGACAAGCAGAAGGACCGAAGAAAGTTTTACAACTGGATCAAAGCATCTCCAAAACTGCAGCTCTTGTGGCGTTTCTGGTCTGCAGTCGTCCAAAGAAGTAAAAGCGGTGCCCTAGTGAGCAGGGTCTGCTTCGTGGGGGTCTTATCCAACTCAAATTGCTGAAGAATGAATGCTGATTCAGACAGAAAGTTGTCAGAAAACAAAGTACATCCCAGTTTCAGGCGGGATACCCATGAAGATCATAATGTTATGCCTGACCGGTGCATACTTTAACTCCAAGACCCAAAGATGACAGAGAGGGGGGTGTGTCTGCAACTTCTGACAGCAACTGTTTTCCTCAAGCAGCAATGTGGCATCCGACTCCGATGGTAGATACCTTGAATTTAGGCACCGGTAGGTCTGTCTCTTTGTACTTTGTCCAGAGACGTCCGATCCTCGGGTCACGGACCATGTCCACCGGTGGTATCCCTGGGTTCTGTTGGAGATAAGGATGGGACACGATCTTGTTAGCCAGGTTCACACAGTATTAACTTGTTGCAAAGTAGTCGTGCAAAAAATCGGAATTGTTGCTTGGTGAAACAGGTGTTCTTGGATGTTGAATATGCCACGGCAAAACAGCCACATAGTAACGGCATCATGGAGGTCGGCTCCTCGGTTACTATTGTAGCCTTTTGGCCGCATCAACGGCGGCACTTACGGGCATGCTGAAAGTCTGCCCATCGTAGCGATAGAGTTTGTGGGATCCCTTCTTGAGCGCCGGGTCGATGATCAACTTGTAACTTCTCCAGTTGTGATTCCGCTTCTCCGCCGAGCCGCATTTGGGATGACTGTCCATGCCGTTCGCCAAACCTGAAACGGCAGCCAGCGACAGGGAGAGAGGAGAGCTAGCGTTATCGGGAGCCAGGGCTAAACAGTCTCCCGACCAACCAGCCCTTCCAAACACTTTAAAACAGCCCGGCGCTACACATGCATGACTCCGGCAATGAGGGGAAACGAAAATTGGATGTAGCGTATATCCCACTTACGGAAAAACAGGCATTAGTAAAGCTGGAGAAAGAGGGGAAAAAAAGAACAAGCTTACTTGAACTCTGCTTTCTCCCATGGTCTTCGTTCAATCTGTTCCTCTCCGCTGGCTTGGACATGGTTCGTCCGATCGAGTGTTTTTTTAAATACACAAAAAGATGAAATCGCCTTGCTTTCTCCGTTTACATTACATGATTTCGCTTGAAGAATACTGCCTCCTTTTCGGCGAGAGCCAGCACATATTGTGTGTGTGTGCCTCTGCTCTCTCTAGCTGCTGTCTCTCCCACAATACACCGCTAGGCTTGCCCACCCCCTGCGCGCATCGCACTTTCGCCACAAAGTTGCTTCCATTTCCATCGTAAACTCAACTAAAAAAAATCATCTTGGATAAACACGAGGTACAATAGCACAAATACACCTAAAACATATGGGAATATGAGCTCTAGTGATAGTCTCGTGCTCTTAAATCACTGAGTAACAGTGTTGAATCTGCTGATTGCATTGACTTAAACGGCAAACAAGCTAAACTCGGAGGGCAATATCTTCTTAACTGCTTCTGAAAGCTAATAAAGCTGATTCGGGTAGGAGCTGTATGCTATACAGACGTGTCGCTGCATATTTTAAAATAGAAAAATGAAACCCAAGTGCGTCCAGAGACTCCAGTTGGCTACTTATGTTGCATTTAAATCAAATTAATACGACTTAAAAGGAAAATTTGGTTAGTTAGCAGCTGGTTTCTACAGTTTCTTTAACGTTTGTGACTATTGGAATGCAGCGTCTTGTTTCGTTTTTCTGGCAGTTGATACATAACGGACGAACTAGAACAAACAGCAATGCCTGCCTTATTATAGTCATCAAACTATTCAAAATTCACTGGTATTTCCTGATCTTTAGCTTTCTTCTTTTTTTGTTTCAACGACGAGCGTGTTGTCGAGCAAACTGGGTTTTGTTTGACATTGCCTGTTGTTTTGCAGTGCTCGGGCAATTGGCTGGTTAACAGCGGCAGCTCGGCGGGCCAATCAGAGCCCGGCAGCGGTGGAGCTGCCTGCTATTAGAGGCAACGGCTCAGGAGTCCTTCAACAGAGAGAGCAGGGAGAGGGGGCTGAGTGCGCTCTCTCGGCAGCCATTTTCCTTAAAACAGGACTCAATGGCCTATATGGGTTTCCTTTGTTCCAAAAGGGATCTTTACACTTGGTTTCCTCATCTCTTTACGGACTATGATAAAACGTATGTTTGCTCCTTTTAAAGGATTGGGAAGATTGGAAGAGAATGTAGCTACTGGATGTAAATACCCTGTGACATTTTCAACCTTTTTTTCTTTTGCTTGGAATCCATCTTTGTCTTAACTAGGTCATGGCACACCCATATAATATTTATATTTGTTAAGTGAAAAACCAAATGTGAATAAACTGTTTTAAGTGATTGGAGATGTTAAATTAGACATGAAAACAGTTAAAGTGACAAATGTTACTATTCCTTTTATGGCCTTGTAGGAAGTGAGTAGCAATAAGTAAGTTTTAATTCTTTTCATATAATTTATATAATGTAACATTTTTGATTGTTTAACAATGTCAATTGTGAGGCATGCAGTAACTATTATTAAAACTATTTTTTTTTTCAGTTTCATATGTTCACATTGATTTCTGTATGTGTTTAAGTGCAACTTGTCCAAAGCAGGCCATAAATAACAAATATCTTTTCACCAAAATGTATTGTGCTAATAATTATTTGTGCTAATAATTATTTGCTTCGTTTATTAATTGTCAACATTCTTCCTCTCAAAACAGCAATATGGCTCGTCTTGCACCCTGCCCTGGAACGGTGGAAACAACCAGAACCACGTTTAGGTTCGAGTCGTCCACTCGCCATTTCAGAGCCAAACACGTCCAGAGTATAAACGCCGGTTTGACCTTGCCTCAAGGGTATATCTAAATATCTAAGACAAGCATATTCAGGTAGTCCTTTTTACAAAAATATTTCTTGTAATATTTAAATCACAAACAATCCAAAACCTAATAGAAAACCGATGGAGGGAAAACGTTCTCATTGTGAAAATATTTACCTCAACACTTTGGTGAATGCAGTTAACAGGCCTAAACGCAGGGACAGGAGGGATGTTTTCAGCCCCATCTTCGGATCCTCTAATAATGGCTTTAATAGGGGGTGGGAATGCGTCTCCTGAAAAGGAAGGAATTCCATTAGCACGACAGTTAGACCTCTTTTCAAAAAGTCTCTTTTTTTTCCCTCTCATCACTGGCAAGCATACCCCATCTGACAGCCAGCGAAAATGCATCTTCAAGCATCATCTGTGTGGGCAATATGCAAAACCATCTCTTCTCCTCAAGACAGGATTGCAGTCGAGTATAACCTCGTCCATTTTCGACATTTCTAACTGAGCTACATCATTTAAACCTACATGGAAATGTTTTAATAAGGTAACGGATTTTTTTAGCTATTTAATCAAATTTTTTAATTGCTTATACGTGAACATATTAGCCACAGACGTTTAAAACTTGACAAGACGATTATAGGGAAAACTGCTGTAGCCCACATTTTTAATGATACAGCAAACTTACAGTTGATATTCAAAATATGTAATCCAAGTCTTAAACGAGCAAAAAGCAATCTTATGAGGAGGAAATCTTGTGTTTTTCTACTGATTTCTTACATCCAAATAAACCTTTTGGTGTTCAGGAGGCTGCTCTTGCTCAGTTCTCTGTCTCAAAATGGCTTCTTCACAGACAAAAGGAGTACTGTGCTGTGAAATGTTGCTGCGCCATAACTGGGTGAGGCTCTGGAAAGCGCCCTTATTTTTTTCGTCGGAACACTTCCTTCTGTGTTTTCGGCACTAAGAAACAAATATGACGACTGTAACGAATGTGGTTATCGTCCAAATGCTGTTTAGTTAAAAAAAAAAAAAGGATAAATGGTGGACTCTCCGTGAGAGGGGGTGAAACTTTGATCATAAAAGCGTATTCAGGCTGGCAGTTGCTAGGCTGACTCGTAATCCGAGAACTGGATGGTTGCCATGAGAGCGCGAGAGCTTTGCAACAACAACCCCCACACACTTCCATATAAGGTCAATGGGAATCCGCTGCGGCAAGCCCCTGTTTGTGTTGTATCTAGGTGAAGGGTGCTTCAAGGCAGAATCCGGCGGATCAGCGACCGACCAGCACGGCGAGTTTAAAGCGCCGCAGACCAGATAGTGGAAACAAATAAGATCGGGTTCTTACAGTTAACTTCGGGGAAAGAGTTAAATTATAGGTGGGAGGGTCTGGATTCGCTTGCGCAACGGAGGGGGGTCTCCAGGTGCATTTCAAGGTTAATGTTGCCTTTTTCAATGCGATGGAGTTGCCTGCAAGATAAATAGCAGGGCACAAAAACCCGGCTGTGGTTCAGAGGCCTGTTAACTGCGCATTTATTTAATAGTTTTGTGTTCGGAGCAGTGAAAATGTCACTTTAGTGGACAGTTTTGTGTCGAAACCCACCAGTGAAGGTATTTATAGCCTTGTGTTTGCAGAAAAAAGTAGGGAGAAAAAAATTCCCCGCTCGGCAGCGCCGCTCAGTTTACCGCTGACAGACTGGAATATTCCACACAGGGGATTGGCCTCTTTTCCGCAGGACAGCTGTCTCACCCTCTCTCTCTTTCTCTCTCTCTGCTCGGCGACAAATATTTCAAGAATTGTTCTCTGTTTATTGATAAAGGGCTGTGTGCGTGTGGACATTCTAGGACACATTTACAGACCACCTTTTTACGCATATGTGAAGCTTCGAGTTTCACTCTGTAAGTCATACAAGCACGTTTTATTGTTTATTAGACAGGGTTTTTTTCCCCACAGCTTGAAATGGAGCCTTATAGGGACAATGATTTGCTCTTAAAACTGCCAGATTGTACTGAACATGTACTTAAAGCTTTATAGTTTTATTCATCCAATGCTGTTACTAGTGACTTGTAATTTTCCTATTGATGGTGTTGTATGTAGGTTTGTTTTTTGTAACTTTTAATCATTTGTTTTTGTTATACTCTACAGTTTTTCTTGTAGTCTTACTAGTTGTATGTTTCTGACGTTTAAATAAAGACTGTACACTCATTTTGGAGTTTTGTGCTATTTTATGTTTTATAAAAGATTTTCAGGCCCATACTTGAGAGGATTGCATCATCCAAATATAATAAATTACACAACATGTGCAGGGAACATTATTTCAGATACAGGCTGACATTGTTGAATTAGTAATGTACAAATCATCATTCATAAAATGCTTAAAATACCTTTTTCAAATAGTACAAATTTATAAATTGTCATTCTGAAGTGATAGCTTCTTCTACTTGCTGTCTTCTAACATAAATCTTCAAATTTGACTTTACAGCCTACCTCAGTTTCAGCTGAAATGCCTTCATGTTAAGTAAACTGGTCCATTCAAGAACATTTTGGTATGTTCTGATGATGAACGCTCACTCCCCGTGATATACTCACTCTACCCGAGCAGATTGTATTATTCTGTAATCCTCATCAGTTAAACCGTTTCCAAAATTGTTTTTGAAAAATATACTTCACTTTTAGAGCGCTGTTAATTACATTTACTATCTTGAGATATATATATATTTTTTTTTTTTTTGAGCAAGGAGTGATTGTTTATGCTTATTGTGCATCGATACCTCCATAATCCGAGTCAGATAGACCATGTCTGCCTCAGGGTGTAGCTGTAGTTTGACACATTAACCCACGACTAAAAATCATGACACACTGATTATGTTGTTCAATACGCCTCAAAGTACCTTCTGATTTTGACCTGGTGAGATGCTGAAACCTGTCTTGGAATGTTGTTGACAAAATATAAGCCGTTTGTGGCTGTGTAAAATCAAGTCCTCTGAAGACTTGATGGACGACTCATGATTTTTTTCCACATAGTGTCAAAGGAATAAAAAAAAATCTTCTTGATTATACAAACAGATTAAAGATTTAAAGTAATTGTTTAATTTGACCAACATTTTTAGAGTTGAACATGAAGGTTGGTGACAAAATAACCTTACAACCTCAGAGACTAAATCTTCAAAATACCAGTGGAAACATGGAAAACAGCTGGTCCACAATTGTGGAAAGATCTGATTGCTGTAATGCCAATAAAAAAAAATTCCATTGATTGTTAAAGAGGGTTTAAATCGTTTCCAGGAAGCCAATTTTTATTAAATGCAAATTAATTCTTTTTTTAAATGACACTCCTTTTCCATTGTTTTACCTGTTGAGCAATGGCGTCTCAGTTATCAGAAGAAAACGTCCTTGTTGAATGGAAATAATTCAAAATGGAAATCTGAAACTCAGCTGAACTTAAAATATACAAACACTTATAAACACATCAAATATAACTTTTTGTATCTTAGTTATCCCGCCTTCTGGTGATATAAATATTCCACTCAAATTAGACTTTACAGTTTCTTCACCTGCCTCCACATGTACAAAAACAGTTGTCAAGAAGGTGTGAGGTTACATTCACCGCCGTCAAAGCATCCTCACACTTTTCTGAACCACAGAAGTAAGAAATGGTTTTATAGTGATGTTCGTGCAAACAAAAGCCCACTCACTGTACTAAAGCATTCGTGTTTTTAGGTTAAGTGCTATCTTCCCTCCTTACAAATCCACACTCGGTGGAGGCTGTCCCTCACTTTGAGCCCACACCCACAGGATGAAATAAGCAGAAGAGGAAGTAGGAGTAGCCAGTCTTGGTAATGATACATGTGCAGTTCGGCTGCAGGCTCTCTGCAGCTCTCTGTGAGCATGCCTGATGATGGGGCAGGAGAGAAGTGTAGGGGGGGACAGTTGGAAACGGCGTCATGTTGACAGGAAGAGGAAGTGGTGAGCTGTTTGAACTACCTGGTAAACCATGAGACATGCCTGTTCCTGTCTATGTGATCTCAACTCGATCCAAATGTAGATTTACCTGTTTTCACAAAATCTCTCACTAAAATCTGGAGGGAGCACCGTCTTGCCTCGTACTGCCTGGCACGTATTTGACTGTTTCGAGGGAACCAAAACATGACACAAAACGGTGCCGGACCCGGCAGCGGTACCACAAAAAAGGTGGAAGAACTTAAAATTGTGATTGTGGGAGATGGAGGCTGTGGGAAAACTTCTCTTCTGATGGTTTATGCCAAAGGTGATTTTCCAGAGGTAAGAGGAGCTCCCATTGAGACTTTAATATACAGACAACACTTTATATGATAAATGTGAAAGAATTCATGTAAAAAAAAAAAGTAGCTTAATGTGATATGAAGTTGATATTAAACATTCAGTTATAAAAATAAGTCTGTCTTTTTGTTTTCCTAAACAGAAATATGCTCCATCAGTGTTTGAAAAGTATGTCACAACTATCTCCTTGGGAGGAAAAGAGATAAAGCTCAACCTGTATGACACAGCCGGTAAGAGAAATATCACTTCCTTATTACAATTCATCCCGTTTTTACTCATGGCACAACACATTTCACATCATAAAGAAGGTTTAGAACATCTTGAACTCAGCGGTCACACACCTTGTCCACATGTTGATAATATAATGCATACTGGCCCAGAGTCAGCAATGCTGTCAATTAATCGGGATGGCAACACATTTCAAAGTGTTTATTTTAGATAATAAATTTGTGGCCTGTAAAATTTTATTGGTCACTGAATTGGTAGGTGAGCAACAAATGTTGAGGAAGTAGAAAAGGTTGATATTTATGACAGAGAAACTGACAAGTTAGTGATAACCAACCCTTCATTACATACTAACATAAAATACAACCCGTTTAGTTTTTACTAGAAAAATGCCTATTTTTTTAAATTTAGTTTTAGCTTAGTTTGTAATATTTTTATGTCAAGATGCGCATCGACTTTAGTGATTTCTTTAAAAAAAAAAAAAAAGAAAAGCGCTCCATATTTAGTATTCTGTGTCAAAGATCAGAGATCTTTTGTACACTTTCTGTTTCTTTGTGAACTGAATGAGCAAACCTCTTGTTTCCCATACTGACTTGGTTGCATATGTTCATGGTAATCTTGCATTAATTGTGGTTTCTTTTTTTTTTTTTATAATTACCCAGGAATAAGAAGTACATGTTTGTCACACAGCTTCCTGTAAGATTCACGGGAAGGCGCACAGTACTTAAATGTTTTTGCTTTAGAAAGTCATGACAGTCTGTGCCGAAGCTTATCTTTTGGCAGGGCGCCCTGCATCTGTAGAGAGGGAAACCTAATTCAGGATGTGGTTTTATGTCTTTACTCGCAGCTTTTTCACATGCTGGTATATTCATTATTGAGTGATGTTGCTCAGTTCTGCTGTGCATTACCATGCATGGTTTCTTCTCTATAGCTGTTATTTTACCCACATAGCTTGTGCTTTTGTTTCTTTAGGACAAGATGACTATGACAGACTGAGGCCACTGTCATACCAAGAAGCTAATCTGGTTTTAATCTGCTTTGATGTGACCAACCCTACCAGCTTTGAGAATGTTATGATCAAGGTGCACACCTCCAACATACCTTGCGTCAAGCTATACACACACACACACACACATAGCACAAAGCAATGGATAGAGATTCTTTATGCCAAAGTGGAGTTTCAGGTTTTATCTGCTAATGATTAGTAGCAAAAGCTATGTTGAAGAAGTGCTGCATTCTTTTTGCTGATTAACTCAAGAACTATTGCCGTTTAAACCTCCATACAGATTATCCAGTCAAGCAGAAACAAGCACGGTAATGCAATCAGATAACTCAGGCTTCCAGTTCTCAACACAATGTTCAAATCTCATATTTATCTAGTGGTACCCAGAGGTGAGGCACTTCTGCAGGGGCACACCGGTGATCCTGATTGGCTGCAAAACTGACCTCAGGAAGGATAAAGAGTGTTCAAGGAAGCTGAAGGCCATGAATCTGAATCCCATTACCTACGTTCAGGTAAGAAAAGCGCATCAGCATTTACTGATCTACGAAGCAGAACCTTTTAAGCAAGATTGCAGGAGGCACAGAGCAATGCGAAAGAGGAAGCGGCCAAACCAAACATTTAAACCACATTATCTCTATCATGTCCCAATTGCTTATTTTTATTTGCATGCTGTCATACTGTCAGCCGCACAGTGTAATTCTTGGTGTGTTTGGGCCTAGGGCGAGGAGACTCGGCAGGAGATGAACGCGGAGCTCTATCTTGAGTGTTCGGCCAAACATCAGGAGAACGTGGAGGACATTTTCAGAGAGGCGACAAAAAGAGCCCTGGCCTTCAACCGAAAACAGAGGAACAACAAGAGGAAGAAAAAATGTCTTATTCTGTGAAGATACAAACTTTCAGGATCCAACGCTCTTGCAGGCAATTGTTAGAGGATCCTTTGCTATAGTCAACGCATTTGGACACTTGAGATGCCAAATATAATTTGCGTCCTACACAGATATGAAAGTAAAAAAAAAAATTTTAAAAACCCTGAAAGGATGCGTCTTATGTGCACCCTGGAAAGCCGGTTAGTAATCTTCAACAGCGCAACAAAAATTGCGATTGCTGCAACAGGAAGGGCAGTTTTGCAAGTTGTAGTGACATTTTCTAATGTAGCATACAAGACACTTCTTGTATGCGTTTTGTACTTTTTGTGTTTATGTACAAGTATTTTTTTTCCTGAAAGTATTTTGCACCACAACTGCAGAAAGTTGTCTTTACCTATTTATTAATGGAAATCAGTTCTTGAGCTGACATTCGTAGGCAACATAATCCTACTTAGAATAGTTGTTGGTTTTCAATACGTATTGGTACTGTGACTTTAAAGTAGCACTGGTTGGCTACCAACATGGCAGGCCTGTTAGTAATTCTTAACTTTACCAACAGCGCCCACTTGAGGCAGAAAATAAACTAGCACGTTAAATGTCAAGTGCTATTAATATTCCAAAATTAAAATAAAAGCAAATCTTCACATAAACAGTTGCATATTTGTGTTTAATGTAGCGTGGGTTTTGTTCACAACAACATACACAGGTTAAAGAAACTGGCACATGTCCTCTGTTACTGACCACACTTCAGACACATGAAATGAACAGCTACATTGTGAAATAAGATTATTTGTGCATTACGACATAAAAATGGAACAATCTGATCCTCAAAGAGCTTCAATTTTCCCCCTCAATAAAAAGGAGTTCTACGTGCCCTCTGATGGAACTACAATTTGTTGAAATAATAATAATAATAATAATAATAAAGAATAACTGTGGCATTTTCAAAATAGCATGGAAGATTTCTTTTTTGGGGGGTAGAATAAGGCAACAAACACACAAATTTTGAAATAACAGATTAAAAAGACTGAAAAAAAAATACCAAAACAAAAAAAAAAACTAAAACATTACAGTGAATGATTTAATCAAAAATAAAATGTGTACTATTACAGAATAGATAGTGGTACGCTTACGCAACTTAAAACGGAAAAAAAAAAAAAAAACACAACAGTACTCTTAGCTGAATAAATCTGAGTAGCGGCACAAACAGCAGCATTTGATCACTTGTACAACATTATGCAACAAAATAACAGAAGAAACCAGAACGGCCAGGACCTGAAAAGTGCATTTTGAACTTTTAAGTGTCTTCGGCAAGATTAAGACCATCAGTCAAATTTCTGCTAGACGTTTTCTTAACAAAATGTTAAGATGTAAAGGGTCTACGTCTGTAAGAAATCACAAGCTACATTGTTATGTGCGCTTCCTTGCCGTTTCACTAAAGTTGGTTTTTAACAAACGCCAAATTCCCTTTTTAAATGGAAGTTTTCTGACTAAAAACAACAAAAAAAGCTCCCTCTGACTGTAAATAGAGCAAAGTACACTAGTGAGGACCTTTCCCCCATCCCTTTAACAAATGCTTTTAGAGTCATGGGCTTGAACTGTGTGCTGGTTTACTCTGATGTAACATGACAGTGGCTTTAAATGTCTCATGAAGAAAAACAAAAAAAAAGTTCATTGAAGTGCCAAAGAGAATACAAGCCAGCGCCAGTTTGACTATTACTACTTCACAGAAGTATGCGCAGGGCAGACGTTCAAGTGTTGAAAGGCAAACTTTGTTCTGTTCTGCTACCTGTCCTTGCATAATGATTTGAGCGAAGGCGCTCCGAAATTCATGCACAAATCCATAGAAACACATTCTGTCCACAATATATACACACAATAAAGCAAGAAACTGCTCCTCCCATTTGGTGATCATCCACACTGGTTCACAGCAACATCAAGTTACCGTAAAGTAAGAACCTGTCAGCGGGATGCTTTGGCTGGAAGCTGCTGCTGCTGCCATCGAAGGCTGAGAGAAGCCTCAGCTCCATCCAGACTCAGCCTGGTCGGTGTGGGGTCAGTCCGGTAAACGATTGTGCGTGTTTGACCTGCGATTGCTGGTCCTTTCAAGGATCAGAGAGGTTTCACCGAACTTATTCACAGTCGCCATTTTTTTTTAGATGTCCTTCTCCTTCTTTTGAACTTTTTGGTGGACGACTTTTAACGTTGTAAGAAAGTTTCCCAGGAATAAGACGAGAAACGTTAGAGCCAGCATGAATATCTGAAAGCAAGCAAAGAAAACCTGTTTCAATAATTAAAAAAAAAAAAAAGGTTACAAATAAACAGAAACCAAAGCTGTACTAGAAATCATTTTAACACTCTAAAATGTGAAACTGTTACAATAAACTAAATATATGAAATTCATGAAACAAAAAGAGACAAGACTGTGTCACCACTTGTTCGGGTTAGGATGAAAACCAACTTTCATTTTAGTCTTGCACACAAAATTAGTTTTCTCTTAAATTTTGAGCTGAATATTATTAAAATTCAAGAAAAATGAAACTCTAGTCACCATAATTGAAATTGCAGTGATATACAAAATATCACCTTGTATTGTTGTTCAGTTTCTTTTTCAGAAAATTATTCGTATCATTTGAGATTTTCTTTCTACACTGAATATGGTAAACAAAAACCATATGCCAATGAGGTAACTTTACGAATTACTATTTTTAAAATGTAGTTTTCTAGAAGTGTTAACAATGAGAAAGTTAAACCACTTCTAAACGATCAGCATCAGAATTGTTGGGAACAGCAGCTGGAACGCTAGTGAATAAATCCTATGGTGTTCAAAGCAAAGCCAGAAATGTGTGAAGCAGGACAAAAACCTTTACAAGTTTCAACAAACCTGATTTTTTAAAGCCCCAGAACATACAAGTCCCAGATCAGGAAATTATGGTGATGTTTGACATAAAAAAATATTTTTAAATATAGCTCTTTTTTTTTTTTTTGAAACCAAGATGTGTTTGACTGAACGACTCCATCCATCAACCCGATCCTTACCTGCCACTCCTTACAGTCGTCATGTCTTGCCAAGCGAAAAAGGGTCACAGAGTTGTACAGCTGCCAAAACTGCAAACAAATTAAGCATCGCCATCAGAACTTTTGCAAGGTCTACAAATGCTAAATGTGACGTGGCATAACTCAGATTTTTATTTTAATGCATTAAATACAAGCAGAAAGGCAAGACTTGTTGGACTTACGTGGCCAAAGAATAGAAAAGGCAAAAGGAAAGTGAGCCCTCTCCACATCCACGACTGAAATCCCTCTGCAACAGAAACCCAACTATAACCTTATCGTGCCACAGACCAATTGAGATATTATTACACTACTACTTTATATTTTCTGCACAACAATCTGACATTGGAGATAGCTTGAAGATGCCTCACTCGAGTTTCCCAGACATCTGCATCCCAACAGAGTAAGAGCTACAGCTGTCTCCGTTCTTCACCTTTACCCCAATTTTCTAGACATGCCGCTGCAGATGACTAAAGGGTTCAAACGATTGAAATGACTAGCACCAAAAATAGTGTACAACTCACCCACTGTGAGGTCAAGCTGATTTCTCTCTCCCAAAGCGCGCAGCCTGTATAAGCAGCCGCTCTGGTAGTAATACTGGAGGAACTGAACAAAGCCTAGAATTGTGGAAATGATAGGAATATAATTACTGGATTATAGAAATGTGATAAGAATAAACTGATTTCACAGAAAAATATATAGGTAGGGAGACAGAAAATACTACAACACACCAATTCAATCTGCTTAGAAAAAAAAAAATCCAACCATTTAAGGTTTTGTACCCTGAAATTAAGAGCAGGGATTATTTAAATTAAATGTTTTTCAATCTGAACCATCGCCTGAGACTGAAGAAAGTTACCACATAATGAGTATCAATAAGCAATGATTTTAATCACTAGTGTGTTATACTCTCCAAGTTTGGATATCAACTTTTCAAACAGCCTCAATTTTATTAATTTAAAGCTTATTTATCCAATTGAACAATATGTACATGGAAATTTAGGGTAAACGTGCTTGCTGGAAGCAAATATTTGTCAATGGTTTAATTGCCCAGCAGTTAAATTTGTTTTTATCTTGGATATTGACTTTCACTTGTTGAATTTTCAGATGAAACCGCCCTGAAAGACAAACTCACCACTGCTACTGCCTTTGATAGAATTGTGAGAAGCTGGGAGGAGAAAAGCTGACTAAACAAAGATAAAGTTTCATCAGTAATGTACTGGTCACACTCAAACTGATAGCTTTTTTTTTTTTTTTTTTTTTCAGACATTTAGCTGGATTTTATTGAACAAGACAGTGTGTGAAAGTAAATGCTGTTAAAAATAGTCTAAATTCTTAGTTTTAATATATTTAAATAACAGAACAACAATATTTCTCCATATGATTTGAGAATAGTGATTAGCACTGATTAGGAACAATTGGCATATTCAGTTCTCTGATCAAGAAAGCAATTTAGGAGGACCATTTGTTAAGAATGGAAATGTTTAGTCACATCCCTTCATTCAGGAAACCAGGATTGTTTTCTACAGCTGATTTATGACCCTCCACTGTGCAGGCAGTGTGCTAAACGCTGTAAAATGAGCTCAAAGCTCACGCCGGTGCCACCAATCCTGAGCACAGTGTGGTTAGCTGTAAATATCCTGTCATGCAAAACTAAAAAAAACAAAAACATACAAGCCATCTTCGTTTCGCCCTCTGATTGGGACTATTTTTATCAACATGGTTTTTAAAGTTCAAACTGTAATACTGCATTTCAGAAAAGAAGGAAATACAGAAAACGTTAGGATTGTTGGTCGGATTTGCAAAGAAGTTGCGACGACTGGTGAAAATACATAAAATCTGAGAATGATGAGTGAATTTGCATTAATAGCTGCGATCGCTTCTTTCTGGAGGGACTCATTAAACCTAATAAAGTCCTGGTGGACAATGAAATCTTTTTTCACAGCACTGTATGCTTTGCTTTCAAATATACAAACATGTAAAATAAAAAAAAAAGAACATTAGACAAGAGAGAAAGACTTTTTGGGGAAAAAGCTCAAATCTGGGTAAGCGAACCACAAGACTTACTCTGATAAATGGAGAACGCAAGGAACTGGTTTCGAAACATCTGATACATTTGTCCCTCAGGCCTGTCCAAAAATACAGTGACAAACAGAAACACGCTTTAGCATTTTATGACTTTCACCTTCTTGGTGTGTTACTGAACTACATGCGAAACAGGCATCTCACCAGGTAAGCATAACACCTGACAGGAAAGTGGACACATAATGGTGAGACACCCACCAGCCTTTGATCCTGAAACAGAAAAAAAAGGGAAGGAGAGCAAAAACAGCTGCGTTATTTTCAAAACCCAAACAGAGAAATCTTTTATGAGACCATCGTCAAAACACACCTGGAACCATTAGTGATGAGGATGCTTTCCCTTATGGTTAAAGTGCAATAGTACCAGACCAGCAAAAAGTTGAAGATTTCATCTGTGACTCTGAAGATTAAAAAAAAAAAAAAATTATTTAAGAAAACGTTATAAGACTACTCCTTCAAGAGGAAGCATTACCTTACCGGTAGTTAAGAAAAAAGAGGCAAGTTATGGCTCCAAACATCAGGATTATCGTCATATAAAGCTTGAACTTCTCGTACTCGTCTTTGTAGGCAAATCTGTGCAAATGAAACACGGGTGAGATGGGCAAGTAGACAACATCTCCTTTTCCATCTTGGAGTCAACTCGTTTTGCATTTTCCATACTTTGCCTGATTACTGAGGAGCGTCACGTTCACGTTGCCCAGGACCAAACTCAGGTACAGCCTGAAATTTAAAAAAACAAAAAAAAAAAACAACACAAAACAGGTCAGTACAG